CCCCCCCCCCCCCCCCAAAAAAAAAACAAAACAAACAGATAGCAGTATTGTTTTATTTTAATACTTCATTGTACAAGTGGCCATATACTACAAAATGACTTTTTGTTAGCAGATATGACAATAACTGGCTGTTTTTGTAGGTTATGATGCAGGGGTGTAACTAAATACTACAGGACCCTATAGCAAAATTTAGATTGAGTTCTCCATCAGCTGTACATGGCCTATAATGTACCCCTATACACAGTACACCCCGTATGCATTTGGCCAGAGGGGGAAGGCTTATAATGGACTATTTATATCCCTTTAAAATTCGGCAAGAGGTGGGAGGCCAATAAAGCACTCCTTTTTACACCTCAACATGGGTGGCAACATATTACGTTTGTTATTTACAGCTGCTTGCCACTGGTGATTAGAGCTCAATTATACAGCTAAAAATGGGAGACCTATAATCCACCCCGTGGCTCTTCTACAGATACCTTTTCACACTGGTGGCTACTGTAATAGAACACTAACAACTTGCAATCAAGCAATCAAAATGGATAGCTCCAAAGTCCATAGGTGCTGGGTGGCTAGCCACTGCTGTGCTGTGTACTAAATGAGATGGGATTCTCCTTTGTGGTCAGCCAGAATGAAGTTGGCTCAGACAGATGCATCAATATGCAGTAAATCAGAAGAGATCATTTCCAGTAGTCAACTGATAAATAGAGCAAGTAAGCATTTTTTTTTTTTAACAATCCCTTTTCAGATATGGACTATGAACCTTCTGCCCCTGGGCTCCAAAGCTGAAGTTACCCACTCGCAAGGGGGTAGAAAATGCAATCTCTTCCCTAGAAACTGTCACAGACAAAAGCTAATGTACAGTTTTTTAGAATGTACAATAGTAATTTTAAGCATACCTCTGTCCACTCTAACGTTTCCCATTGTGGTCCACACGGTTTGTTCTTGCAGACCTTTCTCTGAGGCGGTCTAGGGAGCTGGGCACCCTCACACTGCTCATCATATACAGAACTGTCCAGTCCTGGTGCCAACATTTTCCAGCACCGAACAGAGCGCACTTGTATTCCTTGCCCACAGCTCCTTGAACACTCGCTCCATCCACTGGACTCCCATCTCCAAAGAAAGCACACAAATGAGAGACTAAAGATCAAATCATACAGCATATTCTTAAGGCCAACTCAAACTAAAATTAGCAAGAAGGGTTTATTAACCTGTGTAAATCAGACAAGTAGTGTATATGTACCTCTTGTAGTGTACCACAGTAAATGCCCTGAGATACTGCAATGCACTGCCTCTCTGCTCTGCAACAACAACAGTCCCTATTTATAGTGGAAAGTGGATAGAGCTATCCATTCTTCACTGGACACGGCAGTATTACTCCACAACATGGCCTACATTTTAGGTGCCATTCATAAAATGTAGGCCCTGAAGTGCTGCTAGGGAATTTTCTCTGCAGAAAGAACTTTTTTGCTTTATATACAGCATGGGGACCATAGCCTGAAAAATTTCTGGCTTCAAAACTCTAACGTAATCAACATCAGAGAAGCTTTACAAAAGCAGATTAAGAAAAGTGATTTGAAGAGGCAGGCTGTCATGGCCAATAATGGATAGTGGACCCTCTTTTCTATAAGCATGTTTGGAGAAGGTGTAAGACCTTGAAAGAGTCGAGGAGCAGAATTGTACACGCCACCAAATCTTTACCAGAGCAACTCATTAGGGGTGGTGGACTTCACTGGGGGTGTATGAGGTTGTGGCCCACGGGCACACCTGTGCAGATGACAACTGACCTGGGATTAGAACCAGAGTGTGGTAGAATGTTGATAGGCAGATTCAGAAACAGACACAGGACAAAGATCAGGACAGGCAGTGAGCAAGTGAAGTCAAATACAAATTAAAGTCAGTAACCAAAGAAGCAGGAATGCAGCCACAAGGTATACATCAATGCTCCCACTACTGGCTGCTGAGGCTGCAGGTTAGGCACCAGAGCCTAGAATCATACAATCACAGAAAAAAATATAGGAAACGTGTCTGCACTGGATTTCATCAAACCGAAAATAAAGTGAATTTAATAGCCGTTGAAACTTTCTTTCTTTCTTTTTTTTTTAAGTACACAAATGTACTGATTTTTCTGCAATCTATTTCCCACAAAATGTTACCTGTCTTTGTGTATTTGTGTATTTCTCACCTGGGCATGCATTCTCTTCCTGAGCAAAATTCCTGAGTGGGCTCCGGCCTTGTCAATGGATCACAGTATGACTCGTCTACTTCTCTGCCATCATAGCGGATGCACAAGGCATAGGCAGAGCTAATTCCTGTAGAATGATCATCACATTACTGTACACCCATGAAAGCAACTGGCTATTATTTATTATTTATGATTTTGAGGAAGCACAATTATTTAGTTATTTGTTATTGGTATTTACATAGCGCTGACAGTTCACGCAGCGCTTTATATATGGCACATTCACATTAGTCCCTACCCTCGAGGAGCTTACAATCTAATGTCCCTACCTCACATACATACAGGGCCAATTTAGAGAGAACCATTTAACCTTCTAGCATGTCTTTTGAAGGAAGGGAGGAAACCGGAGTACCCGGAGTAAACCTGCGCGAGCACGCAATGCCTGAGAATGCGTTTGTAATATACCATCTATACTTGTGTACCACCTTGAACATGGCCTTTGTAAAACATGTCATTAGACAGGACATTGTTTTACTAAGGTCAAGAAAGGACCCCCTTCTGGCAGTACCCGATGTTGAAAAAGTCTGAATTTGTCTAAAGGTAAACTAAAGTGGCTTTGAAATGAATTGGGTTTGAGTTAGCAAATGAGAGAGAATAGCTAAAATACTTCCTTCAATCATGATGTCCCTCATTAAAGTCTCAGACATAGCCATTCATTGAGTCACTGTTCTGTGTATTAAGTATCAGCTTGAGCTACTGGAAAATGTGAAAATGAAGCTGAAACTCCACCTGCTGGCTGCATTGAAAAAAATAAAGTATACATATTTAATATTTATTATTTATCTGACAACAACGTAAGAAAACTTTTTTATTGCACATATTTTTTTACTTCTAACAATAGTATATAATAATTAAAACATGTACAATACCACAAACAAGTCCCTTTTAGACTGGTTCTACATTACCTGAGCTGCAGGTTGAGCTGCAAGGCGAATAGGCGGAGATCTTCCAGCGATACATGTCAGCCCTGCTGATGTCCTGGCTTGATGTTAAATCACTGTAAAAAAAAAAAAACAAAGCAAGTCAAGAACACTGAATCAGATCATTCTGTGAATGTGCTGCCTGCAGACACAGCATTTGGAAGGTGGTGGAATGTGTTACTTTCACCACCCTATGTATGCTGCACACGCCCACCCTGACCAACAAGAGCAAGTTTTACAAAGGTAAGTGAGATTTATATCTGTTCATTGTTCACACTGGTTTCTGATTAGCTGGGGAAAAACACCCCTTCTTTTTCCTTTACATGTGAAGCGGAGGTGCAAAGCAAAGATTTTGGAGGCACGTAAGAGGACCGAGACAGCAGCCATTCAGAACAATACTTAAACTGGCAGTCAAGCAAGATTTGTCCAGTATGCAGAATTTCATTGACAGCAATACAAGTAATAGCTGTCAATTGTACAGTTTCCTGGGCACCAACAGCCCACTTATCACAGGTAGGTACCTTGAACAGAGAGCCAACACTGCTAGCTTGATCTGTCACCATTCACCTTGAATATCAACAGGGCGGTCACCCAGTTCTGGGATTAGCACCCCATCCATGCACCTAGCCTGTTGCTCTAGCCACCCTATGCATGGGGCAAACACCCACAAGGAGAATCAAGCTCTATTCTACTCAGTGAAACTATCCAAAACAAATGGAAAAGGTCTTGCCTGAAGTTCTGTAAAATGGCGACTTAACTTTACAGGTTTAGCTACTTCCCTTGTAATGGAAGATCTTTTAAAACCGATACTGGGAGGTTTGGAGTACTCAGCAGACAGGAGGTTTGCAGCAACCAGTAAACTATTTGTGTGTCTACAGGCCCTCTACTACACCACTAATACATATAGCTCATGTAAGTTCAAAGCAGAGAAAGCTTCCTCTAAAGCCCAACTCCAGCCGAATCATATTTATTTTTTGGTTAGAGAGGGAAAGGGTTATACCCTGCCCAGTTTTTATTGTCTTCTGTGTTCCTGTTGGGAGAATCTCACCTTACTTTCTGTCCGGGTGACCACACAGTGTGTAAGGAATCTCTTCAACAGGTACTACAAATAAAAACCCGTCATAGGTTCTTACCCTTCCCTATTCTACATGAAAATCCTTACTACTATGTGCACCCTTGATAGATATACTCACTTCCTGCTTCAGTGACCAGGTTGGTAGCAGGAAAATGTCTCTAATAGCTACAGGAAGAGCAAGCAAAAATAAAAAATGTCAATGACAGATGTTCTAACCCAGGAGTAAGCAACCTTGGCATTCTAGCTATGGTGATACTATAAATACCATCATGCCTCTGCCTCTGGGAATCATGGCTGTGGCTGCCAGAGTCTTGCAATGCCTCATGGGATTTGTAATTTCTCCACAGCTGGAGAGCTGAGGTTGCTTCTTTTGTTCTAAACCGTCAACATGCTATCCAAAAAAAAGTTTGGTTGGAAGTTGTTTTTTTAGGTCATTGATTAGGTCATTGATTATGAGTTATTTATTATCAGTTTTAACTATGACATGCTAAGGTGAGTGCACACAGCAAAGAAAAATATTACAATTTCTGGCAGTCAGAGATAAGAGGACAACATATTTTTTACCGAAAGGGCTCCAGCTTTTCAGAATATATATTAACACTCTTTTACATGCAACTAGTGCTTACTGGAGCTCTACAAGATTATAGAATTCTGGATTAAAACAATAGAAAATAAGACATGTAACATTGGCGACATTGCTGAGGGGAAAAAACGAAGAGCGCCAGCTTGCATCCAATTACACTGTTCACAGCTGCATACCTGCTGAAGCCGGGTGCTTGTAACGGCTGTGTCCTGGGAATGGATCCAAGATGTTCATAAACAGCTGGCAGCAGTAGACTGTCCCTGAATTGTTCTGATTCCTGTGTGGACTCTGCCAGGGTCAGACCCCCAGGACTGCCACCAAAGAGAGATTGGCAGAGTGCAGAGTGACTCTGCTGATCACACAACCTCCATAATTCACTCTGCAGTAATCCCTGAGGAGTGTCTGTGCTGGGCTGGAGGCCTGTAACAGGGAAAACGAATGGTATTGACACATTTACACAACATCTGACACACTAGATTGAATACATCTGGAGCAAGAGTGAATCATTCACCTAAAGACTTCTAAGAACTTGTCAGATAAACCTTTAATAAAACATATGCACCTCAATGTGTATTGTAAGTCTTGCAGGGTCTGTGTAAACATTAAGATACATGTGTTAAGCAGCAGATGGACATGAGGCACTCAGCTGGTTCAGGAAACTTATGTCTTGGTGGTAGGTAGTTCCACTGGCCAGCAGCTCTCAGCCAAATCGGTGCCAATTGATGTTGCTCACACCAAGAGTGTCAGCAACATCTGCCTGCTCCACTAATTGAGTTGGTGGAGCACACATTGCTCTGCACTCTACAATACTTGTACATTTGTATAAATTGTGCCTGAAATCCTGACCCCTATAATGTATATGGGCAGGCTTAGAAATAAGAAAACTAATTCATTAGTTTAAATCGGTTTTGGTACCCCCTGGATACCTGCACACTTTTTAAAACTGGCATTGACAAGAATTTTAGGTGTTTTTGGATTTTTTCAGATAAACATGCCAAATTGTCACCCCAATTATCCTACCAAGGCGCTCTGCCTGTCCATTCTTAGTGTTAGGCATGCAGGTTTGTGTCACATGGCAAATGCCCACTTTACTAGTAAGCAGTCAGGAGCGTAGTCACAATGTTGTCAAGAGTTTAAAATGCACAGGCAAACCCCTTTAGCATGTCATATGTTTTTTTATATATATATTTATTATTAAATTAAAGTATATTATATTTTATTATACTATTATTTTATTGTGCCTTTCCACTACAACTACCCTTAGCGTGTTTTGTTATTTTTGTATTCATTACTCTTGCTCAGATGTCATCACCAGTGAAATTAATGGGGTGCGAGAGGCACTTGGTGAAATAGAATAACAATCCCAGCACAAGACACAGACTATATTCGTATGGTATCTTTAGAAGTCCAGCTGTCAATGCTACTACATACTGCCAGCGTGAAATGTGAGTGCATTATACTATTACTAGAAACCATCAGATGGCACTTCCTGGAAAGCTCCAAAATAATACACTCTCACTACTTTGTTGTTTAGTGTAAGAGATGTAATAGTAGGAGATCCCAACCTAATGGTGGCCAGTTTTCATTACCAGTACCATCTATTTTAATTATTGTTTCTTCAGAATTAGTATAATGTCCCATACTTTTTTAACAAACTTCAATTAAGAAAATGATGCAACTGGACATATTGATATAATATAATAATAATGATGATAAATCAATCAGGTTACGGATAGTTAAACAGGATCAAACATTTAGATGTAAAAGAATCCCATAAGGAGAGAGCTGGCCTCTTACTCTGAAATATTCGATCCCTGGCTGTCATGTTGGTCCAGTGAAAAGCATTTAAATTTCCATGTCATAGTACAATATACAATGCTGGTCAGTCAAGGTCAGCACCAAGATGACTACAAATAGCCCATGATAAAAGTCCAGCTGTTGTTCTGGAGTGTAAGCAGCCAGTTGAGGTAGTATGGGTATGTTACAAGGACACAGCTGGGAGACATTCACTGAAGCTGCTAGAGGGATTTTCAACTAGAAGAACGTCCTAGGTCGGCTTCTGGTCTATGAACTCTAAAAGTCATGTATTAATAGAAATGACTGCTACAGGTTTAGAAAATCTACTGTTGCCAGGAGAGGTGATGTGGGTTACACACTGTATGCATGTGTAGTAAGAGACGGACAAAATCATGAATCATAACATAACAAACGTGTCCACAGAATGTCATATATATAAAACCGTGGAGATTAGAAATGATAATCACAGATGATAAAGTTTACCTTCTGTTTGGTCTTCTTCTACTATGCTTTGTTCTTTACTTGCCCGTTCCTGAGGTATAAATGAGCCTTCTGACTCTTGAGCATTTTCCCAGTTCCATGTGTCGGGTGTATCAGGCAAGCTTCTATCAGACCCTCTCTGGGTCGCACTTTGTACATTGCTTGGAGGAAGAGGAGCCTGTTGTACTGGTTCAGAGTGTAGAGGCAGAGGTGCTTCTGGCAGACGAGGTACTGTGTATTCATAGGTTATGTGGGGAATCTTTCCATTAAAGTTATAGTACTGAAAACAGAAGAAGACACTAAATAAGCTGTGTGTTAAAATTACCTGTAATGTTTTAATAAATTGTAAAGTAATAGGAAAGATCTTCCATAAATGCAAGGCACAGATTCAAAACAGCACTAGAAAGCCTACCACCAACCCAAATTATTTTTCAGTCTTCAATAGAGTGGGAGGGTTTAGAACTTCTGCCACTTATTATTGCTGTATGTGTCCCCATTGGGCAGATTTTCTTCTACTTCATGCTTCATTGTCGTACTGTTTTTCAAGGTGGGAATGTGATAAGGCATCAGAGAACAACAAGTAAGAAAGCACAGACAGCAATAAGACACCTAATAAACTCCATCCAAAGCTGACATGATATTATTGGCTGGAGCTGGACACCCAATATATAGAAAACAAAGCCCCAATTTACTTATCAGATACAGAAAAATGGCAGGTAATCATCACATTTAAAGTCCATTTCCACTTTGCAATCAAATTTGAGAAAACCCCGCTAGCTACATGCTTGTTATGTGTTCCTATTCACAGCATACCTAAAAAAACTTCCTTTTTTAAATATTTCTTAACTTTAAGATATCTCTGTGGAGCAGGCCTTTGGACAGACTGCAAGCTGTCCCGAACAATTTCAAAGTGACAGGAATCTCTGGTTGTCCCCATAAAACACTAGGGACACAATGAGCTTCATCTCATTAACATACAATGCTGCTAGATTTTGAACCCTTTGTTAGGACAAACTGTTCAACTCTAGTTTACAATTGATAATGAAATCTGCCAGCACAGTGCAGACCCCTTGCATTCCAGATAAAAATTCAGTTTAGAGAAAACTAGTTATATGAGAAAACAAGTAATATGTAATTAGTATGTACATAGTAGTTTGTATAGCAGTAAGTATTTTTGCTATGTAAATGAGAAGCTATGACAAATATAAAATAGGTGTTATCCCAATTTGGCTACAAAAGTGGAAATACACTCTAAAGTGAACCTATGCCCCGAACACACACATTTATGTATTTACATATTTTGAAAAAATAGCATAAGTACAGTAAAACAAGCCATTGTCACTTGTCCCTCCCTTTTGCTGCACAAACTGTTGGCGCTATATAAATCCTGTATAATAATAATATTCGCCTCTATATCTATAAATATTGTAGAGAAAATATTTTGAAAGTTCACAACACAGGCATTATAAATCTAAGCTGTTTTCATGAGGGCAGATCTTGGCAGGTCACCAGACCTCTAATGTACACAACCGGCAGATGTTTCTAAGGTGCTGGAATGGAAACTGACTTTAGAACATTTGTTGTGATCTCTGATGGTATCTGAGAATGAAGAACTTCACATTACAAACAACTAAACAGGTCAGTGATTGCTTGTTTTAAAGATTTGTTTACTGCGTGTCAAAAATATGTAAATAGGTTAATGTCCATAGTTTGGGCACGGGTGCACCCAAAATATCAATTTACTGAATTTGAATAGCATGGGGCAAGTTTATGGAAAAAAATTAGGTCTCAGGCTGAAGGTAAACAGAAGGGCTGGGGTCTCACACACACACCATGACGCTGAGGGACTGGTTGGTGGGCCCAGGAGTAGTCAGATATTCCAGTCCCTCGCTCTGTACATTTGATGGCCGCCTATATTTGACCAGTGTCCCAGCAACACGGAAATTCTGAGGGTTGTCCATCATCATATTTCCATTGATGTAAAAATTCCCAGCAGAGTCTGCCAGAGCTGAAAGGAAAAAACAAAATAGGAAAAAAGTAACAATAAAGTATCTAATGCGGTAGAGTGAGGGCCAGTTCACACCAATTGCGGTGCGTTCCAGAGCAGCAGCTGCTGGAACGCATAGCAATCGCACACTAAACTTCCCCCTTCGTTCTGGGGCAGGAGGGGGCGTGGCGGTGCATTGAAGTCAATGCCACACACCCTGCCCACAGTGCGATCAGACGCGTGGCAAAACACTGCCTGCGTTCTGGTCCACTGCAAACACAAAAAAATGCTGCATGCCCTATTTTTTTGCGTTCGCAGTAGACTGGAACGCAGGGAATGTTTTGCTACACGTCCAATCGCACTGCTGGCAGGAGGCGTGGCTACGGTGCCATTGCCTTCAATGCACTGCCCCCTCCTGCACCACCGCAATTGGTGTCAACTGGCCCTCAAAGCCCAACTGAACATTCAGTTTAAATCAGATTCCTGGTCTAGCAAAGCAAAATATGTTACAAATCAGTTTGTTGTCTCACAGCCTCAGTAGAAAAGCCTGTCCCCGGCCAGCATGCTACAAAGTAGGACCCTTGTTCTCTGTGGGGAAGCAGTGGTCTCTCTTACAGAAGGTTTGGACAACTTTGGCCCTCCAGCTCTGCTTTAACTACAAATTCCAACATGCCTCCGCCTGTGGGAGTCATGACACTCCAGGACAGACGTTATCCATGACCTCCCCAGCATTCAGAAGCAAGACCGAAGGCCTCCTCCATGCAGACCTGCTCTGCCTCCCGACCTCTACCATACTGAGGCAGCAGCACTGTGATTAAGATTATAAGGTAGGACTCTGATGTGAAGGGGGGCTGAGGACTCTGATGTGAAGGAGGAACTAGGGACTCTGATGTAAGAGGGAGCTCCAAATATGAAGGGGGCTCATGATGTGAAAGGGGGGCTTCTGAAGTAAAAGGGGGAACTCCATGTTCATGTCCACCCTTCAAATCCATACCAGACCCCTATCTAGGATAAGGGTAGGGGCCTGCTCACGTTTTCTTACATTTTAGACTGGGGTTTGTCAGGAAAATCGAGTGCATGGCTTTGCTCAAAGCCCTGCACGTGCGCATGGTCAATGGATAAGCTGTCAGGGAAATCATGTCCATAGTAATGCTCAAGGATCACAGCCAAGCACACACCTACGACCGGAGAAATGCGAATAGGCGTTATTCACATTGAAGGTCTATGTTGGCTAATACATTTGCACCTGGGATGAAATGCGCATCTACAGGAGCATAATTAGGCATGCACTTCCTATTTAAACCCAAGCATCAGCAAGGGATATTGCTGAGTGGTCATCAGCTTCTACTTCCTGTGACCTGACCTGTGTGTTTCTCCTGTGACTTGACCCAGCTTGTTTTGACTCTGTGATATTTTGAATCCCTCATTCCTGACTTCAGCTTTGTATCCTGACTATGCTTTCTGGTTGCTGCTTTGTACCTCTACTCTTCAGCTGTGTTTGACCTTGGCTTGCTTCACGTCTTTGCTTTTGGCTTACCCCCTGTGTACCTGCGCTGCATGGCTGTGTCTGACCTTCTGTTTGTCTATGGCCCTGTTGAATCTGAACCATCTACAGACACTTGTGCTTCTCCAAGTTCCCTCACATCCTGTCTCAATTCCAGGGGTTGCTGGAGAGGAGGTGCTAGGGAAGCCCCCACATCACTTGGTCTCCATCAGGTACATGACATGTCTTAAGATTTTGCATATTTTAAAGAGTCTCATGAATGAAAAAAGGTTTAATGCCAGACTAAGGAAGCAATTCACTCATTTTGGAGATTTACTATAATTTTCTGTTGTGTCTACAAGATAGAAAGTGATGGAAAATCTCCCCAATGGGCCCCACGCTTTAACCATTCCACACTCTCTCCCATTTATGCAGCTTTAGATATTTTTTAAGTTTATATTCATGCATTGCCTAATGCACTCCACAAGCTAACAGAAATAGATCTGTAAAAAAGAGATTAGAATTAACAAAGCATATCTATAACTACCAACCATACTTTCTCACCTAGAATGTTTTCTGTGTTTCTTTTCTCTGTGATCAAGATGTCAAAAGCACCAGCTGGGATTGTTGTGATAAGTGCATAACCTGAAAAGGTAGCAAAAATGTAATAGATGGCGGTGATGTAGTATTACAAAATTGTTTAAAAATGCAACTCAAATTGGGACTGTAAATAAAAAATACATCCTGTCATTATATAGCATTTGACATAAAATACTGCATAAAATGTGTATTTAGAGCTAAGTTGGGTATACATGGAGAAAGATAGTGTAGCACCAAGCATCAAAATGTATGAGTTGATTTACTGAAGGCATATAGGCTATTCGCTTTACAAAAGAATTTGCGCTTTATTACCTTGGCTTAGTGTTTGAGTTGAAGCTCTGCTGACTTTTATCATCCAGTCACATGCAAGCAAAACTACTGTTACCTTTTAGTTTCCTTGGATGTGATTTTTGGGTATTACTGGCAAAGTGAACTTTCATCACATTCACTAAGGTAAGGGGAAACTTCCCCTGCAAAGTGCAAATTTCCTTGCAAAGTGAACAGCCTATTTGACTTCAGTAAATGAACCCCATTGTTTACATTTTTCTTATATAGATTCCATCTTCTGTCCAGCACTGGAAATGTGTGGCTATATTCAGCAAGAGAATTACTGTATATAATGAAGGGAGTACTGGGGGACATCGAGAGGGGTTGGAAGGCTTTTTATAGTTTAGGAGACATAAAGACATTCAAACAGTTGAACAGTTGAGCAGCAGCTGAGCTTTTTCAACTTCTGAGAAGCATATAGCATCCTGCCAACAAAACTGCATCATATTCTAGCATTAGTTTTTACTAAAGTAACCACATGACACAAGGGGTGTCATCATGAAGGTGTGACTAGCTGCACGATGGCTAAGCACAGGCCTGGGTGACATGAGGCTTTTCAACCTTTCAACCACTGGCACCAGAAAACAATAAGGCAGCGTCAGGAATGTCAGCTATAAAACCTGTTACCAGTGTTGTGGTGGGTAAGCAGTGTCATAAGACTTGATAATTATGATTGAATCTTTCATAGATAAAATTGGAAAAAAATAAATATAGTTTTTCGATTATTATTGATTAATCGATTAGTTGGTTGCAGCACTTCTGTGAACTCTTTATACTCGTGCACTTGCCTCCCACCCCAGTCCCTCTCCCTACCTTTGGACTTAATAGTTATAGATACATAAATGGGCCCACTCCCTACCTATTGCTCAGATACTCCGGGGCTCATGAGACTCGGCGTCTCCCTGTCCACCCCTAGTTCCACGCTGAGGTTGCCCTGGAATACCATTTAACCCTATGGATATTACTTATAACCCTGTAAATGTGATAAGCTGTGTTGACGTTCTTTGTACACGAACTTCTCTTTTTGTGATCACCTTTCCTGTATACAATGTTTTCTGGTTAAGAAATCAATACTTCAACCTTTCAATAAAACAAAACAAATTTAATATACTGGACAAACAAAATATTTTTTTTTCATTTCACTACTTAATAGCCAACAGTTGAGAAAAACAGGTTGCAAAAGACATCCAAAAGACACTAATTGCACATATCAGACAGTCACAAAGCTGGAAGTTTTAAAGCTACACTGCCAAAGGTGAGGTCATACAACATGCTCTGAACATTGATGTGCATATCGGATGATCTTCTGAGGCTCTGATTCTTCATGTAGGAACAAAGAGATCCATAACATGGTGTCTGCAATGTTTTTATGATCTTGGACCACACTTGGGATTTCCACACATCATTTACACAATCATCAATAAGTGTTTTTCATTGGAGCCAAGTGACTAAGCAAAATTAACTAAGGAGCTTGAGCAATAAGCTTCTGTACATAACCTGCACAGGGGGTCAAAGAGCTTGTTAAAACCATCAGACTTTTACATGGTGTCTGGGATTGTATTTAAGAAGTGTTTTCATGTAAAACATTCCTCCATTCAGCCATGTGTTGCCAATACCCAAAAGGATAAGGAAATGCCCAATATTTTACAACACACATCTTTAAAAAAACTTTAGAGACTTCAAGTGAAAAATGTTAAGTGCAAGTGAGCAGTTTAAAAGTATATCTGAAGCCAAAACTTTTCTTATAGTTTCAGATAGAGTGGTGAGAAGAAAGAATCTTTGTCAAGTTTTTAGTCCAGTCTGTGTCTCTGCTGGGGATATTTACTCTCTCTAAATGAAGGAAGGCCAAAATCCAACAAAGTTATCACTGGAACAGGAATACATAGGAAATCATCCAATGAAGGCACTTGCTACGGTCACAAGGGGTAAAGGAGGGCTTCCCTCACTTTGATTCCCTTTCAATTCATGCTGTGTTTATGGTACAGGAAGTGAAGGTAAATGTCCTGAAATGGACAAAAAAACTTGACAGGGCTGTTGACTACTCTACCAAAATGGGCTAAGACTTTATAATTACTTTATTTAAAAATGGATAATGGAGAACAAAGCAAAGGATGATTGCCGTGATTACATATGACTTTCAGCTAACAAATGACCAATGTTCCCCCAAAGCAGCTTCCTTAGTCATCTGTGTCACACCAGTGGCAACAAATTCTATAAAAATAAAATTTCCATGTGATCATATTTTATCATGTGACCATTACATTAATCTAGACCTGGCAATATAATTTAAAGTGACACTAAACTCAGGAATTAAACCTGAAAAATGCTTAACTATTAACAAAAATGTAGCTTATTTGTGTACTTTTGTTCCCCATGGTCCCTGTGTGTGTTGTAAAGTAGCCACCTCTCCAAGCTCACTCCCGAGAATGACTACAATCTTACATTTACATGTCTAGTTGTAATAAATGTAAAGCTAGGTGTGTTTGGCCCACACCAAAGGGTATTTTTTATGTATTCATAAGGTGGTGCCCTATATCCAGTACCATTGTACCTCCTTGTGTTTGCAGTATGCTAGGTAGTAAAGTAAAGTAAAGTAAAGTTTTCCTTTAAACATGGATTGACTGTAAATTACAATTTACTTGCCACGGTTTAAGTACACCTACAAAGGATCTTGAACAGGCCCCAATAATGCCAGCACACGCCTTCAAAGCTCAAAAACTAGTAAGCGAATAACTTCCTGTGCTCTCAGCCTATGCTGTACTCTTATCAGTTGTTCTCAATTCTCTCCATGGACTACAGTATGACCCCCTATGCTATCGAGATGAGGAGAGAGTACAAGAGTAATACTGCAAATAAAGGTGAACATTAGCATTTGAGCAAGAATAATGCCCTATGTAAAGACTATGTTTGCACTAAAATAAGGCAATAATCTCCTCTAGGTCAAGGGAACTTCAATGCAACAATTGTCATAATAATCACAGAAACCTCAGAAAGCTGAGATTCCTCTCTTGAGGTCTGCTATCTTTTCAACAGTCTGCACTACTGTATTTTATCATGTTGCATTTTACAGACTGTACATGAAAATACAGATAGTTGTCAGTTGTTTACAGACTGTTCATAAAAATACTGCCAACCCAGCTCCCCAGACATTAATATTCTTCAAAGTCTGTGGGCAGGATCTCTAAGACGCAGTACGTCTGAAACTTAAAATATCCAAACTAGAAATGTCCACTAAGGAATATTGTACGAAATGTCCAACTATCATATTTTTAGAAAAGCCTGGGGACCAGGGAGGGGTCAATAGATAAAATATTCTCTTCATTTATTTGTCTATTTATACATGATGAATGATAAAGAAGAGCATTTTAGTGAGTGAAGGCATTGATACTTGCCACTTTGACAAGGTCATTATAAATAGACAGACCGGGGATATGTCAGGATGCTGTGATATGTCAAGTATTCCCAAGTATAGAACTGATAACTTTATGTATTTGATATTTCTGTCATGGAAGGGAAGATCTTTGTTGTGTGGTACGCTGTTCTCTTGTGTTTGAGAGAGAGAGATGTATAAAGAAAAACCTGCCATGACAGAAATGTGGGTCTGTCATTTCTGATCTCCCTTTTACAATGTGAGTTGCCTGGACTTCATTCTCCTACATTGGTTTCAATACTGTCTGAGACACTGACCTGGATTTAGTATACAGCAAGCGACGTCAGAACTCCTGATCTGCATGTATGTTTTTGGTCTGTGGCTCAGAAAGTGTAAAATCAGAGGGTCAACATGATAGCCCCATATCTAACATTTTCAGAAAGAGGTCAGCAATCGCAGCTCACATCCAGCCAATTGCATCATGCCTACGTGCCTATCACATAATACATTTTCCGTTGTTATTCAACTTACCCAATACACATTTTCTAAAGCTTCCTGAGACCCTGTAACATGTACTTCCATCCCCACCGCAAACGCCACATCTGTCCAAGGATCTGGCTGAATACAGCTTCCCATCACATCCTACTGGCTGTAGATAAAGAAGTACATGGGAACTGTGATATTTACTGAGTTAGTAGATGCATTAAGACAATAATAGTACAATTAAATCAATCATAACTAGCAGTGTTAAAGGTGAAATCTAACCAAAAGTGTTTTATTAAGAACCTCTGGAGGGTTTTCATGGCTGTTTCTGTCCCCCAAAACATCGGCAGATGTTCCAACCCTCCCCACTCTAACCAAAAATGGCTGGAATGGAACAATATACAGAAACATTAGAGAGAGAGATAAACAAAGACTGTGAAAGCACAAAACAATGCCTTCCTTAGTAAACAAGTATCTCTCATGTCCTTTGGACCCTTATATTAATAGGAAACTGCTCTACACTTTGGGATTACGCAGGACAAGTCGTCTCTCTTTTGAAGAACGTCTACCTTGGAAAATCACAAAAATCAATAAGCTAATACTGCATGTAGCCACAGAGACACCTTCAAATTGTTGATGGTCTAAGTCAGAGAACTCTTGTTGCATGCTATAACTAACTACTCGTGTTTCCTTACTGCATTTAGAGAAACATAATTATGGCAATGTTTGATTGCATGGTGAGCTGTTCTCTAGAGCAAAACAAATTTCCCTTAAGAAAATAAATTGTGTTAAAGTTCTACAAGAAACATGACAAATCACATGGGATAACACCTTGAACTGAGATAAAAGTTACACAATGTTTACCACATTTGGCCAGCCATGTACAGGCAGATATCTTGCAAAGAACTACAAACAATAAGATTTCCTTTTTAAATATAACTGTACTACATATACTTGTGTGACTTTAATTCTTGGAAAGCTCAGTAGGAATAAATGTTACAGTGCATCCAGACACATTGGGAAAGTGACTTTTTTTCAGTAGATCTTGCATCTCTCATGAAAATTAATCTCATATCTGTTCAATGATGGTCACCATAGGAGATAGTGTCTTAGAACAGGGACCCTGGACAATAAGACACCATTCTGATGAAACTATAACATTCACGATTCTGAAGGTCTGAGAATTATATTTGTAGCTAACCATTTACATTATACAGATAGGCCTTTATTGTCTTGCACTGGAGACATAAGTGTGAGGAAATTACACCCCAGAATGTTTACAGGTGTAGTGAAGACATAAAGTTCCTGCATTTTAAAAGAAAGTACTACAAAGTAAGGAATTCCCCAATAATAGAACATATTGATGGTGTCCACAGCCTCAGCGGTACCTCACATTTGCCGTTGATACAAACTCCCTGAAACGTCCTGTCTCTGCAGCTGGTCCCATCGTGGGCTGGTACTAAGAGCTGACGCTCCCTGGTGGTGCTGGTGCACTGAAGGTCACAGGGCTTGCTAGAAATACTTGTGTAATCATCTGAGAAACACAAATGAGAAACACAAAACAGACATCTGTTTAGACGAGCAGCAATTTCTAATATCTCTTTGGGTTCTGGTGGCAAAAAAAATATGGGCCGTGTTAGAGCCATATAAATGCAGACACAAAATCACAAACACCCATACAAACATAGGTTTAACTGGATGGGCCTTTGTTTTTATTCAATCTTACCTACTACGTTACTAAAATCTCTGTACTTTAGTTCTCATGCTTGAGCACCGACCACAGCCATTGCAAGGGGGCCCACTCACCTTCTGATTTGTTTTTTTATTTAATTAATAACATGGAGAATACAATGGGAGGAATGGGAATACCAAAAACTTTAGGTTGAGTCAGCAACTTACTGCTGAGTTCCCCAGGAGAGCTAAGGAGCATGGAGATGACACTGCCCACCAGACACCAACCAAACATAAAATATCACGTTTGGCTGATAGACCCTTTAAAGCTGTGATTAAACAATCACATTAAGTCATTCACATAGTGATAACACAATTTATTTTGTTGGACCTGACCAGATGCATAAAGCCATCTTACAATTTATTTATTTATTTTTTTAAAGGTACAGGGCATAATAAAATCATTTCGTATATCCTGAAATTACATCACAGTAACTGACCTGGATATAGAGGTACCCAGTGATGATACATTTTCCCAAATGCCTTAGCATTAAAAGCTGAACACTGATACTGTTTAAAGCTTGCAGAACCAGAAGGACAAAGCTATGGCCAGAGAGAAAAAAACAATGTATTAATTGCATGATTAGATTTTCTAACATAGATACAGACTGACACTGTTAATGTTACTTTCTATCATGATATATACTTTCACCTGATAATGCACAGTATATTTCACCATATATACAACAATTACATACCTTCAGCCAGCTGCTAAAATCATGTTGTAATATAATATATAATTGTGTGTAGTCATGGCTGGGCCGAGGGGTAGACGGGAGGAATGGCCGCCTTGGACGCTTATGCATTTATGTAGTGTCTCAGCTACAACTCTCTTGTAGGCGCAGCATTGACACCATACATGTGTTTTAGTTATGTTAATAAGAAACATTTTTAGATTGAACGCACTCAAGATCATGGCTCACGTAACATTCTTGTCTTGAATTGTCTTGCAACTGTACTGTCTCTCTTTATTTTTATTACTGTTGGCTCTATATCAGTCCTGTATAATATAATAACGTGAAAAATTCTCAGGGACCTTGAGTGACTGTAAAGAAATGAGGTTACATGCAAAGCTTATTTTTTTCACTGCCATGTATCCTCAAATAAGCTTAATTAACTCCTTTATTTTTGAGAACTGCTAGAAATGTGTGCTTCCCCTACTTTGAAGTCCCTCCACATTACCAGTAACAGCACCTAACATTTCATATTTTACCAGCAGTGCCACTTGCAGGTGGAACTTGGCCTTGCAGTGTTTCCATATTGGCAAAATGATACCCTTTAGCCCACCAGGTTGTGTGATCTATAGCAGGATGGGAAGGAAAGATAACTCTTTCATTATATGGATGAATCTGAAGCTACAAACATTGAGTTTCTTTTTAAACTGAAGGAACCCTTCTCAGTTTGAACTATTGCAAACAAGCTTTAGTCAAGGAAACAACCAAATTATTGAAGTGGTAGATTGCCCCCCTTTAAAATCCATTCATATCCTGTACCAAACCTTCTGGCTGTGAGTGAGCTAGCCATGGGTATTTGCTGTCCACACTGATATATGAGTTAGACAGGATTATATGTGGGTAATTACATGTTTAACTTGAGCGTAATTTCAGGGCAATGTGTGGATAATGATAGGATTGTATGCCGGTTTTGTAGATTTATGTACTAAGCATCAAGAGTAACTAGTCCCATTAAATGAGCGTATTTATTGTACTGTCCTTTAAAAGGAAACAATTACGCTAGTTGCTTATTAAGAAAGCAATAAACAATGTCTATTCATTTATTTACTTACATATTTGTAGGTATGTGTCATGTATCTATGTTATATTGATGTAATTCTTATTTCTTTTTAACCAATAACTTATATTATTACAGAATATATGAAACATATAAAAGATTGTGCTTAGGTTGAAAAGGAATGCATACTGAGCTATGTATAGGTTTTTGTGTCGGCTGAACAGGTCATAAAACACATTTACCATATATTATTATTATTATTATTAATATGCCATAAAATTAAAACTCTACTAAAAAATATAAAACTCTCTTCCCAAATGCTGTGTCCGGGACATGTTTGAGCCAGGCAATCCTCAGCTCGTGGTTTTGGTGTCCTATTCTTGGCTGGTTGGTGATCCAGGTGCATTGATGTAGACAGTCTTCGGTGCTGAGGCTGATCAAACAGAACATGTGGTACACTTCTATTCACTGGGGGTGACAGGCTGGTTGTCTAATTTCATAATTCAATGCAAATAACGATGATGACTGGTCTTAGACAAGCCATATATGGCTCAAATTTTGGTTGATTCCTACTGAATTGGTCAAAATTCGGACTGTTGGTGTCCTTCTAACGACCACCACCCAGCTCAACAAATGTTGATTTAAAATTGACTGAGCTGGATGGAAAATTATCGGCCAAATAGTGATAGCATCCCATCCAGATGTAGTGACTATTCAGGTATTCAGACAGCTGTGGGTGTCGCAGCTGACAATACACAATAGCTGGCAATTCAGATTCCTCCATCCATATGCTACCAGCAGTAAGGCCAGCCATAGCGTGACTTCCTCCCATCTTCTCACACTGTTAAAACAGAAGTCTAGGCAAATTGATTTTACCTTCCAAAGGATTTATATTTCTATCCATTCAGTCCTTAGATTGCTGCAGCAAAATAAATAAAAATGAAAATAAAATAGCTTAAAAATAAATTTACATTTTTTTTTTAAAGTTGGAAAAAAAACACCAGTTTCGGTTTCGGCCTGACGCATTTTTTATTTTTGGTATCGGTCTCAAAAATCCATTTTGGTGCATCCCTACTGAAAACGTTATCACAGGTAGCCTGTCATCCCTCACTCAGCGTACCGCAATATAACTTTCCATGTGTAAAAAGTGTGTAAATGATAGCTACCTGTTTCTGACACAGCTGGTATTGCTTAGACTGTCCTCTGCATACAGTGTTATCATTTCCCAGAACTGTTTGGAGCCTGTAAGAGATAAGACACTAAAATCAAGGTGGCCATTTTGTTTAAAAGGAGCACATAGTGGGCCAGATTAAATTTTGTTGGTGCGCCAAATATTTGACACATGCAAACCTGCTTTTTGTTTTGCATGCGCCATATGACAGTTGAATTTAAGGGTTGAAAAAGAAAGCTGCGGCTAACGTACCAATTGGAGAAAAATAAATAAATCGAAGTGCCACTATTTGCACAATCTACAACAAATAAATAATGGTTCCGAAAATGAGTTTGTCAATACTTGGCGCAATAGAGGTTGGCAGTACTGTGCCAAGAGGCACAAGACAGTTGCACTTTCCACTATGTGCCAAATAAACTATATGAGCTGCAACATAATATTTTAACATGCAATGCGCCAAAATAATACGTCACGTGCAACAATTTGCTTTCCTCAAAAACCACCAATCTTTGTTTATCTGTCCGAATGTTTTTATAGTTAGCACAGATTTTGGGTTATAATTGGGGTATTTATCCTAAAGTAATTTTGGTGTGACGATTACATTTTAGGCGCTTGTTCTTTAATGGTTTTTATTATGTTACATATAGAAACTTGTAGAGTAATCACTTGAAGGAGCTCTGTATTTGATCAGGACTTACGGAACCTCCCTTGTTACAGAAGGTCACTTTGTATTATTTTTTACCGCTCAGTCACCTAACTCCCACAGGGTATGGTGCATGTTATCCCATGCTTCTGTGTGCAGCAGAAACTGAGATACAGACTTTGACATCTCACTCCTCTTCATTCCAGGCCAAGCTCTGCAATGGTCTCTTGATTGAAACATCTCTTATTTCACTGTCTCTGCACTTTGCAGACACAAGTGAGGTCATAAGAATGCAGAGAGAGGGGGGCACTCTCTCACAGGAATCAGCACAGGCACTACAACTGGAACAAGAGCCTTGTTTTGTGTCTGGAAAGTGCAAGGACAGTGAGATAAAAACTGTCAATCAAGAGGCTATCTCCAGAGCAGAGCATGGTCTGGAATGAAGAGGAGTCAGCTGTCAAAGACTGTATCTCATTTTCTACATCATACTGAAGCATGGGATAAAAAGCAACCTATACTGTGGGAGTTAGGCGAGACTTCTTCTATAAAGCATATCTAAACCCAAAAACTAACATTCAAAGTGTTTGTAAACCCCAACAACAGACTTCTCTTATTTGCTTCTTTTTTTTCTATCTATTACATAAAGCCAAAACATTTCATTACATTTGATTATTAAGTGCAAACAAAAACCTGCTGATCATGTCAGCTCTGTCCTGTGTCATGTCACTTCCTGTGTTATCTCAATGAGAGTAATTAGCCCTCCTAGTTCTTATCTTGGGAGTACAGAATGATTAGCCTTCATGTCATAGAGATGGAAGCGTTGAAGGGTTTGAGTAGTTTAGCAACTAATAAGAGCTTAATAGTCCTTAGACAGGATTTCTGCTTTAGTTTTCTTTTTACAGGCTATTGCTTAATGGTTCCCCCAGGCTAGACTTTAAAAATGTTTTCCTCTCTTCATCCATTACATGGGGGGTCTGGTAGTTTACAGAAGGCAGATAACCATGTGATTTCAATTCAACTCACAGGAAGTGACATGGACACTGCAAGATCAACAGGTACTCCTATTGTCTGTTATGTCTTAGAAATATCATTCTGGAGTAGTTTCTTGAAGGTATTATATATAGATCATGATAATGAAAGCATGTACATATTGACTATGTTTTTATGTCTTTTAACCTTTGTATAATAAAGACTGTTTGATATTAATGATGGTGTAATCTCTTGGATTTGTCACTTGGTACCTTAAAAGCCCCATACCTATACATTTTTTCTACTTGATATAACCAGGGATGTGGTGCCAATTATTCAGGATTCGTTCACGATAATTTGCTTTAATATGTTGCAGCTTAGCAGTCTATATATGTGGTGCCTGCATTTGTTTTCATTTTTCAGGCTTAAAGTGGCCATACACTGTACAACCATCGCAAGACCTTAGTCTTGCGATGGTTGTAAAGTGATTAAAAAAACGTACGATCTGCCCATCTTGGACAGGCAGATCGTACTCTCGATCATCGCAAGTCCCTGAGGGGAGGGCTTCCGATGACCGCAATGCTAAACGGGCAGTGTGCGCGTGCGCACACCGGCCCGTTCGGCATTTGTCTCCCGAGCACCGTTCAAACCAGCCGAAAATTGTACGATTTTCGGCTGGTTTTCTAGCGTGCTCCTTAGACAAAAGACGTGCAACCGTACAGTAGAAACGGTTGCACGTCTTCATTCACACTGCTCGATTCTCGTACGATCGCAGGATTTCCAGCGATTCTCGTACGAGAATCAAGCAGTGTATGGGCACCTTAAGAATGTTTTAAGCAAGTAGAGAAAGTTCCTGTTGATCTTGCAAAAAAGTCTATGGGGCACATTTATTAACCAGTGAATGTCACATTTACGAAACTTTAACTGCAAGGGGATTCAATCACTGTAATTTAAAACACATGCACCAGGAAGATACACCGGTGGTCACATCCATTGCTTTATAAATATACCCTTATGTATTGCCTTTAACATGGTACTAGTGACAGTATATCAGACTTAAAAAAGATAAAAATACTCTATATAATCCAGTCTATGTAAACGCAGGAATTATTTAACCCCTAGGGGTTCAGGTGGATCAGTTTAAACAGAACATCTCAATGCTCTACTGGAAATAAAACAATTCAGCTGGACAGCAGACATGACCATGACCGAGACTGTGCTGAGATGACCCAACTACCAACACTACCTCATTGCCGTATTGGAGGTCTGTAAATGTCAAAGTAGAGGACAGAGGCAGGGAAACTACAGCCCTCCAGTTGTAGTGAAACTACAAATCCCATCCCGCTTCTGCCTCCGGGAGTCATGACTGTGGCTGTCAAAGTCTTGAAATGCCTCATGGGACTTGTAGTTGCACAACAGCTGTTGCAGTTTAGCTACCCTTGGTATAGGGTATAAAGATTCACAATGCAGACCCTAAAACACTTACCTCTGGCGTAAGCAATGTCTTTCGCGAGACATCACTCCTCCTCCGCAGGTTCGAGAACAGGTAGACCAGGAGCTCCATTCACCCCACCACTCAGTCACATCTTCATCCCACACCTCACTGCTGTCCTGACAAGACCAAAGAGCGTCAGCAAACAGCACATCACCAGAATAAAGGCTTATGTACAACCACTTTTATTCAATGTATTTATGTATTACAGGTATTATACAGCGCCATACATTTAAATATTGTTCAATCACATCAGTCCCTGTTCTCAAGGAGCTTACCATCTAAGGTCCCTATCTCATAAGTCTGCATACTATGACCAAATTAGACAGAAGCCAATATACTTACCAGCATGTTTTTGGAATGTGGGAAGAAATCCATACAAGCAAACTCCATGCAGGTAGTGTTCTGGCCATACCTGGATTCAAACCAGTGACCTCAGTGCTGCTAGGTGCTAACCAGATGTACTAAGCACTGTGCTGCCTATACAAGATGACGTGAATGTGAAAACAACTCACAGCAACTTGAAGCAACCCAAACTGACATGATCATGTTATTATTATTACAGACATTTATATAACACCAACAATTTACGCAACACTTTATATACTGTACATTCACGTCAGTCCCTGTCCTCAATGTCCCTGCCCCCCACCCCCCCACCCCCCTTAAAGCCCACTTGAATTTTTTATTTAAATGAACTATATTAATTCCAAACAAAAGAGGTTCAGTGTCTAACAGCTAATTTTCTTTTGAAAGCAACAAGAGCCGAAAAAGTCAGTCATCTGCCAACAGTTGCAGCGTGGGACCCCTGTACAGACTGGGAAAGCAGGAGTCTCTCTGCAGAAGTTACTGGGCTTTTCATACAACCAATGATATTTCCGAAAGGCAGACAGTGCTATGAGTGCCATGTGCCCAGCAGAACTCTTGCTATAATATGCACGTTGTGACTGTAAGAGTAGAAAAGTCAGTCCTCTGCCAACAGTTGAAGAGTAGGACCCCTGTACTCTCTGGGAAAACAGTAGTCTCTCTGCAGAAGTTCCTGGACTTTTCATACAAACAATATTAATACCAAAAGATGGACGGTGCTATGAGAACCGGTGGCCGCAATGCACATGCTCCTGCACACTATTCTCCCAGGCCCAGGTCTGTAGTGGAACGGACCTCCGGTTATGGGGCTGGAGGAAGTGACCATTGCAGTACAATGTGGTGATGTCACAGCACTTGTGCACCATTGACGTCTAGGAGTCCCTCTGCCGCGGTGGCCGGTGGAACTTCTACAGATCCCGGGGAGCCTTGTACTGCTGAGCCAAAAAAAGATTTTAAAAGGTGCTGCGGGGAGTAGAACCCTGTAATTTAAGTAAGTGGGGCATTTTGGGGTGGGGGGACGGTGAATATGACCATGTCTCATGTACCCCCCCTAAATATAGGAGTCAGATGAAACGTGGTCAGAAAGGTGGAATTAGACTTCAATGACTATTTGAAGTGTCAGCTGAAGCGGTCTCCCTTTATTTCTTTCTAATAATGGTACATAGAGGAGCGGAGCACTACATCCACGAGACATGCAAGGAATTGAAAATACAGATGCACAGGGTGTAACAACAGAGGAAATACAAAGTCCCAGAAACTCCAGCTTGATCCCACAGAGGTAAGGAGAAATTCTGCTTGAGTGCAGGTCATTTGTCTTCCCCCTTCTTTCTTCTCCACTACCCCCAGGCCTGGTGGTGTTAGAAGCTGTAAACCTCTCTTCTAGCTAAAGCGTTTGATCTCCTACTTAAAAGGGACGCCAGCAGTTAAGATGTTCCACCCCTTCACTGCTGGAGGGGCA